TATATTTCAACGTAATTATTGACAAATAATTCTGAATTAGAAATGTCTATGTTCTATAAAAATTTATTTTATTAATTCTTTTCAAATCTATTTCGGTTTTAGAACCCTTTTCGATCAATGATGATCAAAACAAATTGAAGATGACTATTTTTTTTTTATGAATAAATTTTCATGTGTTGAACAAAAGACAATTGTTTCCCTTAGTTTTTTTTTATCGAACCATAATTTACGCTATTTATAATATAATAAAATGTATTGTCGTTTATTTTCATACATACAAGAGATGTCTATTTCTCGTTACATTCTCTCGATGTTTGTTATGCGCGCCAAACATCGATCGCCCTCGTGCGTAGTGTGTATGCCAAGAGCAATAAAAAAAAAAAAAAAGAAAATAGAGAGTAGTCTTGCTGAAAGAAATTTAAATGAAGTCATTTCAGTATACATGATTTCTATTGAACGTTGATCATTTTTCAACCTCCATTATTGATATTTTACGTCAAAGGTTATTTGAAACAATTAATCTATTAATTGGTACAAGTACGAAGTGAGAAAATTTTCATTTTCAATATCTTATATTGTATCACGATTAGCAAGAATATGAAAACAGTAAAGATTGTTGTTGATGTATCTATGTATCCATCTATCGAGGTATTAAAGGAACCTAGAGTATCTGATCAGATCTCGAAACAAGTATATAATATTCTCGAGAAAAATAGACAAAAGGCACGTGATAGTGCAATAATCAAAGCTTGTAAAAATGCTGTCTCTCTTCTTCTATCGAAGAAAAAAGGAGTTTCACCAACATTTTTATCGGTTTATTTGCCATTGAATATTATTGAGTCATCTGATGATACAGTTGTACCTAGTGTTTCATCCGATGAAGATCTATTAGAAACAAGTGTTGGTGAAGATGATGACAGTATTCATAGCGATCAACTTTCATCATCTAATTCACAAGGTTCACATATTTCTTTTTCTTTGTGTAACAATGTAATGACAGCAAATACAACGTTCGAATATCTTTTTGATTATTTTAAACATTCTCTATCAATTAATAATAAACCGATGAATCTTGAGAAGATCGTAAAGGATGTATGTAGTTATGCTTTTCTTGAACTTAATTGTTCTGTGAACGTTCGCATGTTAAAAAAAGAAATAAGCCGTCAAATAAGTCATATAGTACAATCAGCACGTGAACGTGCTGCCGGTAAAAGTGTTATCGAAATTTTACGTACAAAAAATGTTTTCTCACTTATTTTCAAATCTATCGATTCTTTGAATCGACTTGAACCATCGATGGGATTTATAAGATATAAAAATGATGATTATTTAAGTCCAAATCTTTTCGTTCGAGAAAATAATGATGAAACTGCTATTTTTCAATTTTATCCATTTTCAAATATAGTTGAGATAACCATCAATGAGACATTAGTGAGAAAAGCATTGTCTTCGTTTGATCTAGTACGAGCATTAGATACTAGTGAAATTTCTAATCTTGTTTCACAATGTGTTGCGACATATGATTTAAAATTAAATTTACCGGTTTTTGAAGAAATTCTTAAAACAAAAATATTGTTTGAACGTAGTACGTTAAATTCTAGTTATTTTCTAACTATGTCTGTAAATGTTGCAGAAAAAGAAGATCAGATTGATAAAGTTAATGAACAAAGTCATATAGATGATTCTCATTCCTTCTGTGAAGAAGAAATAGATGCTATTATTGGTCGAACATATAACACCCGAGGTGTTAAACGTTCGTATGAAGAAGATCCTATTTCTGTTGAACCCAATAAAAACATACAGAGACGAAATAAAATAATAAAAGATCAAAGAGATTTATTACATCTAAAGGATACCTATCATCTAACGGATAGTGCTTTAATTGCTATTTTTAAGTATATTCAAAGTAAAAGAAAACTCTGTTCATTAAAACAAATCGTCCAATTGAGAAAAAATACAAACTCCAAATTTCCCATTGCGTACACTAAGACAAGTTCTTATGTCAAATTTGAATATGCAGTAAGAACTGCTATTTTCGTTGCTCAAAAATATGAGCTAAAGCTTGATCAGGTTGAGAAACTTAATATTCGCTTTAATATGGACGGTACACTCATCGGAAATAAGCACATAGTCGCAATATCCATAAACTGCATTGAAGGCGGTCGTCAATGCCAAATGTCAACACACCTTGTTCCTTTAGCTCTTTTTGAAATACAAAAGGAGAACACTGAATTATTACGTAAAACCCTGCCTGCAGAATTTGTTGCTGATATAAAGTCAGTAAAACATATTTCTGTAGGAGAAAAAAATATAGAAATTCATATTCGATTAGGAGGTGATTTGATGAATGCCGTGTACGTGTTTGGACTTAGTGGCTTCAGTTCCAATTATCCCTGCGTCTTTTGTACGCAACATAAAGATGATCTGCACATAACTGAAGAAACTGCTTATGATAAAATAACTACTGAGGGAAAGGGTAAAAACAAGAAAACAAATACAGTTCATATTGGCCCCACTTCTTATCACGATTTCACTAAACGAGCACGATCCCTTGCCGAGCAAAAGCTTTGTTTAGCTAAAAAGAATAATGATTTAGGATATAAATGCGAACCTCTTTTTGGTGATCTTTTTGATTATCAGGATTACTGCGTGGACACGCTACACCTGAAGTTACGAATATTTGATGTTATTTTAAAAGACATATTGTCTTACGCTTCTCGGACTGGTAAATATGGAGGCGAACATTTAGCAATTATTGAAAAAAAAATTGAAATTCTTAATCAGCATTGCAAGAGAACTATCGGAAATCGTTTTTTCTTTCAAGTAGAAACAGATGATAAAAATAAAATTATTGCTTCACATGGAAAGCTTTCCGGCCACCTTCAAGATCTGTTTTTTGTTGATAACTTTCCTTACAAAGAAATTCTAGGCGATGAAGTTGCAAAATCTGTTCGAAGTGTTGTGAATAAGTTTAAAGAACTTCTTAATGAAGTTAAGCATAATTCTATAAAACGAAAGGGTCATCTAAAGCGTCTATCTCTAGAGTTTGTCAAAGAATTTCGTCAAAGTGGTCTTCGTACAACTGTTACTCCGTATATCCATATAATTGGAAATCATTTGTTTGAATTCGATGAATTCAATGACCTAGGAGATTACAATATGCAGGGAGTAGAGAAAAATAATGATCTACTCTCTAATATCTATTTTTCATCTACAAATCTTGCGAAAAATCCTCTCCTTACTATGCTTCAGAAACTTTATCGAATGCTCGAGATGAACTTTGAAGAAGAAGCAGAAAGAAATGCGATGGCTGAATTTGCTCGAACAGGTGTATACGATTTCGTTGAAGCTCTAAATCAACCTAAGTCATTACATGACGATGACATTTTCTTCTATAGCAACGAACAACAAGAGATAGATAGTGATGATGAATTTAAAGAAACATTTAATCGATCTATAGAAGATGTTGCTGAAATAGAAGATGAAAGTGACATAGACTTAGATGAATCAATGATTTGGGCGCCCGAAAAAAGATTTGGAACTAACTTTCTACCTAGAACCGAAAATCGGTTCAAGAGTTTCCGAAGATCATAAGTAAACATTTAAACTTACGATAAAATAAATTTATAATCCTCATTTTTCATTCAGCATTTTTTATTTACGATATTCGTTTTCTTCAAAATATACCCGTTTGCTCTTGTAAATATATTCTACATTGATAAATACGTTTGTAGAAAATGTTATTCTATAGTATAAAATTTTTACCCTATTTTTATAATTAGGCACGCACTTTTGTAGATAATCTTTTCTAGATATGAGTCATTGCTTTGTCAATGATTTGTGTACTTTCAGCATATCGTCTTATTGTGATAAAAAATGTGGACGAAAAATTCATATTCCTCCTTATCTTTCTATTTATGACGGTCATATACATCTGAATCAAGTTGTTACTAAAATTCAATCCGACTTTATTTCTCTTAAAGCAATCCCTCCTATTCGTGAATATTATTTCGTCAATAATAATCACAAACCTGCTGAATGGTCGGTTTTGAATTCTTTCCATATTCCTCCACACGTTCACATATATCCTACCATGGGTATTCACCCAAAATATTTTGATCCACACGGTGTATATAAAACTCTTGATGATCTTCAAAATCATTTAGAAATTTCCCATCATATTTCAAATCCTAAAAATAAAATAGTTGCCGTTGGAGAATGTGGACTTGATGAAACAGCTATGACGGCCATTGATCAACAACTATTTGTCCTTCAAAAGCAGATTGATCTTGCCAATCGATTTCATCTTCCAATCGTTATCCATTGTCGTGGTCCTCATCTTTATCAAAAATTATTCGATTGTCTAAAAAGCCGAATCCCAGACAAAAATTTTCCACTTCATTGGCATTGCATCAATAGTAATTCGGATTTGCATACTATTGATTTGTTTTTAAACCAGTATCCGAATTCTTATATCGGCTTGA